AGTATTGTCTCGCAGTCCCCAAGTCCTAAAATCACAAAACAATTTAACGCATATGAGTGTGTCCAAATAATCATAAAAATTTCCCTAGACTCTACTAGGACCTCTTCCATGCGTATCTTAAATCATCAATTCTGCTTCCACTCGGTTGGTGATGGAAATTCCAGATAATAGGAAAACTTTAGGAATTACACCAATCGTTCTATCATCCCGCCAATAAAATGTGTACATTCAGATGTACCATACTTCTCTAGATGTACTGCTATTTTATCAGGCGTATTCTAAAGGTAAGATACCTCTCTTATGATATCTTCCGATAGGTATCATTCACTATCGTAAGCCATCTCATTTCCTCTATTTTCTCAGTCTATGATGGTTCACATCACTTCCTGATGTTCTGCCATTGTGATAGGTTCGGGTGCAGGCGCAACGACCGACGCATGAACCATCACATTCTTAGGCTCATGTTGTCATCTTCCTCGGATATTTCCTAGTCTATCTTCACCATGACGTTTTGTACACCTAAGCAGACGTTCGGTGTACTGAGACAAGAATTTTAAGATAGGAAAGATTTTATCTATGATTGACGTATAGATCTCCTTGTCACACCGAAAAGTTACATGCCAGTTCTCATACTGTAATCAAACGTCTAGAAATCTGAACACTTAAAATTTCCAGATGCGGTCGGCAACAGACCATAGATCCGAACAAATAATAGCATATAAGACATCTTTATAGCTATAACATAAAACATTTAGCACATAAAACATCTTAGGCATCGTTCCTAAAATAAGCTAGTGCTTGTGTCTAAAATATAGCAGACACTCATCTCACAATCATCCCATAGCATTCTAAGTTTAAGTCTAGAAATTTACTATAAATTCCTAGTTCTCTTAAACTAATGCTCTGATACCAACTGTGACATCCCCAATTTCACGGCTAGAAAAGACCGATTTTGTTTATGCTTTATGAAAATCAAAGTACCTCTTTTAATAAAAAATGTTACGGAATTTATTACTAGAAAAACACGATAAATACGTTATCAAAGCATTTCCGAAGAAACGTGTTTTATTCATTTTAAAACATTTGGGATGTCATCGTCAATACATAAACATAAGCATAAATAGAACTTACATTCGTTTCACTAGTGATCTATATCTCCTTAATCTCTCAGTGTAAAGCAACTTTGTATCGATACCTGTGATACAATTAAACTGAGTGGGTCAGGCTTGGGAGCCTGGTGAGCATATAGGGTTTTTACCCCACAATAAATAAATTTATTATGCTTAAACATCAAACAATCAACCCAATTACCCAATCCCCATTATCTTATTCATTTCTTAAGGATTTACCCTAAGAATCAACTATCACTCATTACTAAGGATTCATCCTAAGGAATAGGCACGAAGTCCATCGCTGCCCAAGGTTTATATTACAAGCACTAACAACGTCGATCCCCACATACTGATCCTATACAGTGATCTTACTAGATCTAGCCTAAAGGATCGATATGAACAACCAACTAACGAACCTGCTTCGGAAATTCCCTAGCAGCAAATGAGGATCGAAGAAGACATCAAATGAATGGAATAAGTTTAACCCCCATACGCACCCTATCCAACAATGGTTGTGGTCTGAATATCATGAGGTATATAACCCCCATACGCACCCTATCCAACAATGGGAACGCTGACTAATGCCTAGGCTGTGGTCTGAATATTGTGAGGTATATAACCCCCAGACTCACTCCTATCTGGCATTGAGAATGGAAACACTGACTAATGAAGCTCTTCCAATCACTTCATAAAAGAAACAAAGACTCCAAATCTCTTCAAAATAAAGGTATAAGGAAAATACTAATAAAGTACTCCCGTACGGTCCCGTACCCCGACACGTAACAGTGTAAAAAAGAAGAACTAATGGATGAACACATAGTTCAAAAACACCTAATGAACATATAGTTCAAGAACATCTTATGAACATATAGTTCAAACTTACCAACTAATTACAAGTCTGCTAACGTTCCACTGGACTATCTAAAATAGTCTGTGGCCATTGTCTATACTCTGCTAGATGACTAGATAATCTTAAACATCGATACCTCTCATTACCTTTTATTTCATCACACGTCATCTAATTCATCTACCCATGTTTTGCCTAACATATTTGTAGATAAAAATACATAAACAGTTTAAAACTTGTGTAAAACATCTATTCAACAGTCACCTTAATTAAACAATCAATATAATTACACATAGCACGTATAGAAAAGAAAATACTTCATATATATATATATATATATATATATATATATATATATATATATATATATATATATATGTGTGTGTGTGTGTGTGTGTGTGTGTGTGTGGTGAAAGTGACTATACACTCACTTGAGTAGGTGGTGACTCAGCACTTGGACAGCGCTTCGATACTCTAAAAACAATTTTCCTTCGATAAAACCTAGTATCAATTCCACTAGGGTTTAGTCGAACGTCAACCGTGACTAATTAATAGTCTAGCTATTATTATTGTTATATAAGCGTTAAATAACACTCAATATAACTCATAATAATGGCCCAAATAATTATTTTAAGGACCTAATAACATTACTATAATTATTTGAAAGCTATATTAAAAATTGCGTAAGCGTAGGTCACTTACAACGGATTTTAAAGAAAACCGGGTTTTATTTGGAATAACGTTTCGAAACCGAAATACTCATTTTCTCGGGACTCCGGGAGCCTTGGGGCTTCCTTAGGGTGCTAGGGGATCACCTAGGCTTAGGGAAGGGTTAAACCCTCAGAGAGAGAAAGTTTAGAGAGAAGAAATGAAGAAAGGTGTGAGATTTTTGGAATGGCTCGCATGCTATTGTTAGTAAGTTGTTATGACACTCAAATCGTGAGTGTCATAAGACTCACGTCGTGAATCTCATGATTCACTCCTTAGACTTGCCATTTGCGTCCCTAGCTTCGGATGGTGGCCATGACACCTCACGTCGTGAGTGTCATAAAGTGCAAATCGTGAATTGGATCTTATCTCTCGCAGCTTCTAGATTCCGAAGTACGACAGAATTTTGTGGGCGTCATAACTAGCACGTCGTGAATTAGCTAGTTTCGGGTTTTTAAAAGCTAAATCTTCGGAATGCCATAACTTTTGCATACGAACTTTTTTTTTGATGTTCTCTATATCCACGCGTAGGTGGAGATGTATTATACAACTTTCATTTAGATCCCTAAGGCTAAAAAGTCATCTATCTTAAATTTACTGTTTACGTCTCCCGTTGCCGTGCCGGTTTTGTCGAAAAACTTCGACGGGCCATAACTTCTTCGTTATAACTCGGATTTCGGCGTTCTTTATATGTATGGAACCCTTGAGACATATTTTACAACTTGGTTAAGATTATTTATTATAAATAATCTTTTGTAGAAAAGTCGTTTTCGACCCCTATTATTTACTAAATTGACTAGTCCGGATCTACGGGCGTTACAATTTGACAATATATTTAAGTTATAAAAACGGAATATTCTAGGAATATATTTATTGGGGAAAAAATAGGATAGAATATGAAGTATGGTTAGAGAAGAAACACTATTTACTCCATTTTTTACTCTATTTAAGAAGAAAGATGAGTTGGAGATGGTCTTACCAATCTACCATTTATCATTTTTTTTTGTGACTTATGATTAATATTTTGAAGTTTTTATAACTTTTGAACGAAAAATTAAATGTTTGAAATAGGTTTCATGATTAAATATTATAAATTAAAATTATATTTTATTTTGTGGGATCTTAGGATCCCGATCCCGATTTTGCAAACCTAAAAACGATCCTAGGTAGGATCTCGTCATTGACAACCTATTTATATGCATCATTTAAAAACACTTTTAAATGATATTTTATTTCTAATACTAGTAAAATTTAGAAATTTAACTAAGACTATCTCTAATGCATTGAACTCATATGAGTTCAATCGATTGACACATGTACATTCTACTCAATATACAATTTTACCTATTAAACTTTACACTCTATTAAATTCTATACAATTTAATGGATTGTCACATCATTTATCATTTTCTTTTTATTTATTGTTATTTAAAAAAAAAGATAATTAACATGAAATTAAAAATTAAAAACTACAATTAAAATTAACATTAATTAAAAATTTAAAATAAAAAATAATTTACATATATATATATATATATATATATATATAGGTACATATGTATGTATATAATGAGAAGGATGAACAAATATGGACTCTTAGACGAGAGTCACAACAAGCTCGATTATGTTCTTGCATTAACTATTGAAAACTTCCTTGAACGTCGCCTTCAGACATTTGTGTTCAAGACTGGTATGGCAAAGTCACACTACTAGAAACCAGACCTTCTGTGACGGAATAGTGAGGGAACGTTTCTGTAGCTAATTAACGTTGGTTTTACGAGGGATCAACGATGGATTTCAATAAATCCTTCAACTAAATTAATTTCAGAAATTTAGTGAGGGGTTATCGAGGGCTTAGCGAGGGATTTATCTAACTTTTTCGGCAAAAGAAATCGCTTGCTAATCTGTCGCAAGTTGAAGGTTTTTAGCTAGGGATCAACGATGGATTTGTTAAAAACATTAGATTTTTTTCTTGGGCCTCGCCAATCGATCGCTGAAAAGCCCACACCTTTCTTTCTTTCTTTTTTTCATTCGACGCTCTTTTCTTTATTCCTTCCCTCGTTTTATCTTCATTCCGTCTGAAAAGCCCTAAACACGATTTCCTCCCAAAACCCTAAATCGAAATACGTTAACTCGATTCCATCCTCCGCCCTGGAAATCACCTCCACCACCGTCTACCTGCTCGCCTCTCTTACCTGCATCGCCTCTCATTGATGTTTACTTGAAGCAATGCCAAAGAACATCCTCATGGCTTTCCTCTCGGTTTGTCTCCATTCCTCATTGACTCGTGGTTTTCTGCCAACGTTGTTTGATCTGTTGGTTGCTAGAAAGTTGTGGTGGTAATCGCATTCAAGCTCTTGTTCTTACAAATTTGATTAACTTTGAGGTAATTTTGAACTTTTGTGGATGAAATGCATAATTTTAGGCCACCGTTATGTGCTATATGTCCTAGTTACAATTGATGAAATTTGATTAAATTTGAGGTAATTTTGGATGACATTGCTATGAATATAATTTGGGCGATGAAGGGTAAAAGTCTATCCCCTTTCAATTGAATTCTTAATTCTATCGATCAAAATAATATAGTTATATAGCCTAATACTTTAGATGATTAGAGTTAGACATTTGCTTGTTTCATTATGGATTGGATTTTTGCTAATATTTAGTGAATTAATGCTTGAGTATTTTAATAGTATTTTATCCTATCTGATGGATTTTATTGTCTGTTCTACCTTTATAGATTCTCTTACATTGCTTTTCAAGGATTTAGATGTTTAAAGTCAAGCTTGTGTTTATTTGGTTTATATATGGTGTTTTTGGATTTTGGTTTGATATTCCCTTCAAAACGTGTACAACTTTTTTAATCTAACAGTTGATTACTTTTGGCTGTTATTAAGTATCAAAAAATGAAGTTTCCGGTATCATCAACTTTTGGCTGTTATTGAGTATCAAAAAATGAAGTTTCCGGTATATGAACAGTAGACGTGGATTGAAGTCTCATTTTCCTTCTTCTACTTGTTGGTCCAACCATTATTCTTTATAGTCTTTTGAATTATGTTTTGAGTACTTTTAGTTACACAAGGCAATTGTGTCTATACAGGTCTTTTGTAGTTTAATTTTTCAAAATAATCTTTCATTATGTATATTTTGGTTAATGCTTTTCACTTTTATCAATAACAAGTCCAAGTTGGAAGTTTCTGATCATATAAGATTAAGAGGAAACTTGGAAATGGAGGATTTGGACACATGAATGCACCAGTCCCTAATGAAAGAACGGGTACTGGAGCAATAGAGGTATCATATTATTTTTCTAATTTAATTGCTTTTTAACAAAATAATTGTTATTAAAATAATTGTGTATTTGTTTTAAGGTCACAAGTGTTGGAATAAATACTGAATGGGGATTACTTATGACCAGTATCTCCGAAGATAATGGCGAGGAAACACCATTAGAGGTTGGTTTTACATCAGAAATTATTAGGGTTAAATTCATCTTAAAAACTACTTTATTGCATAAATTAACGATTTAATTCTAATTTAATAATCATTAGTTTGTTATGGCTTATGATAGCTACGTTTGAATGGAGTTGTAACATTTATTGGCATGGTTGGGCTTGTGTTGGCTCTAGTTGTTCTTGTTGTCCTTCTTGCAAGGTAATTAAAACAAAAATCACATTTTCTTTTACCCCTTTTAATATAAAATGTTTTTTTTCAAATGAATTATAATTTTTTTGATTGGTAGGTATTTTACTGGACATAGTAAAAATCCAGATGAAAGCGTGCAGTTTATTAAAATTTTCACGGTTGCGGTATGTAACCTATTTTTTTTTTTCAAATTCAAATTCAATAGATCACTTTTGTTGTTGTTGGGCTAGAAGGGCTACCCTTAGCTCGCTGTCACATTAATATAAGTATATATATATTTTTAAATAAAATCAATTGTAGTTTTTTATAAAATTTCAGCATTTAATATATTGTTATCTAGTTTTACTAGTTAGATTACTCTGCGTAAAATGATGGCTGACAAAGGGTAATTTTTATTGAAAATCTTAAATAAAAATTCATGTATATTATTTATATAATAATTATTTGTTGTTGCAGATTAATTAGAAGACTATCTGCTTGTGAGACAATGGGATCTGTTACTACAATTTGCAGTGACAAAACTGGAACATTAACATTAAATTTGGTATGTTTCTTCAAATTTATAAAATCTTTATTATTTTGTTGTGTTTAGATGATTGTGGTTGAGGTTTATATATGTGGTAAGAAAATTGATCCACCAAATAAAACGTCCAAATTGCCATCTAGACTTGTATCTCTTCTCATTGAACTAGCAGAATATTTGTTAAGAATTTATTTATCTTAAAAATAATTGTTTATAACTGTTTGTAACTTTTGATATAGGTTGGTGGAAATGTGGAGGTACAAGTTACTCATATATTATTTTCTTTTATAAGTTTTGATTTTGTTCCTCATACTATATTATTATTATTATTATTATTATTATTATTATTATTATTATTATTATTATTATCATTATATGCAAGCTTGGAATAACTTTTGATGATGACTTGATTTTGATGACGTCAGATCATCTTTTGTACATGCATTCTCATGAATGCATTCAACTTAGAGAAAAAATGAGGCGAGGTTAAAATCAAACTGGTAAAATCATTTGTTTTGTATTTTATTATAATAATTTTTATTTATTTTTTTTAATATTTGGTATTATACTTGTTCTAACATTTTATTTATTAAAGAAACTTTTTATTTGAAAGTACAATGGTCTAATGTGAGTGCCATTCCATAAATCTTTTCTTTTGTTATTTATTTCTATATAAGTACTATGTTGGCTGTTATAACATCCTATTTTTGTGTTTCTTAATATATTTATGTTGGCTTTAATAATTTATTTCATGTATACTTTTGCTATAATAGGAGGCTTATGGAAGAATATTTGGATTTGCATCTAGTAAAATAATGTCTCAAAAGGTTCGTTTAATTTTGTCTATTATAGTATCCTACTTCCATAAAATTTCACTTTATAGTTTTTCCTATCATAAGATTCTAATAACAAAATCTAACATCTTATATTCATGTTTTAACTGTAGCTTGTGTATGAACACTAGATATATGTGGGGAGATGGATATTAAAGATGTGAAAGCTGTGAAAAATTATGAATTATGAATTATGAATTATGGTACTTTGAAATCAAATATCAATTAATGTTAAACTTTGATATATGATGTTTTAGGATTTTTTGGTAAACTTTGATGGTTGATGCTTTTGGTATTTCAAGGTTAATTGTTGGTTTTGGAGTGTATATTTATTAATGTTTTTGTTATTTAAATATTAATGTTTAATTGTTTTGGGATTGTATAATTTATTTGATTTTTTTGGTATTTTTGGTTTAGATTGGTAATAAAAAGAAATCAAAAATTATGTTATTATGTTATTAAATTTGCGACATTCAGCAAGGGACTAAAACAAATCTTTTATCACATATTTGCGAGGGATCAATGATGGATTACAAAATTTTGGTATCATATATTTGCGACGGATCAGCAACGGACTGCAAAAATAAAATATGGAGATTTGAGACGGATCAGCGACGGAATAATGTTACTATGTTTTGTCGCTGGATATCCTAAATAAGTGTAGTAAGTAACCATTTGCGATGGATAATCTGTCACTAAATCGTCGCAAGTAAAAACCAATCTGTCGCAAAACCTCGCTGGCACATTAGCCATCCTTAAATTGGCTATGGAGTCTCTGTTGCTGATATGTCGCAAAAAATCATTAGCAACGGAATAGCGACGGATTGGTCTGTCTCTGAAACTCTTGTTTCTAGTAGTGATCTGATGTATACTTATATCTATTATGGATATATAATATTCATGTGTGTATGTTCTATGTATTACAATTATTAAATTGTTATTGATGTGATGTAGACGAAAATTGTGCAGATTACGTTGTTATTAAACAAGACGATAATTTCATAAATGTAGTTTGATGAAATTCATATGATTACTTATGGAGTTATAACTCATGTGTCGTATTAAGTTTCTCAGTCAACATATTATTTCATTATGTCTTTTATCTGGTAAGATTTAATTTTTTGCGTTTTGCCATAGAAACTCTATTCAAAAAAGAAACTAACTGGGAGTTGATTTACATTGATGTTGGCCTTTAATTTTAGTATTATTATTTCAGCTATGTATGTTAATGATGTTGATTAAACACCTCGTGTGACACTACAAATATTTATGGAACAATTATATTTTTTTAAATAGTTTTAATCGAATATATGGTTTTCAAAAGTAAAATGTTATTTTAAATCGGGCCTCTGTGGATGTCGCACCCACCCCTTTTTTATCTCAATATATTTAGATCAGTTTGAACCTGGAAATAATAGATTAAGATTGCAGCAAAATATTTTTTTCGACAACTAATGTTACATTTTTAAACATCTCTATTGTCTCGTTGTTTTTCTCTTTATTTGATACAGAGACAAAAATAATAAAATATGATCATAATAAAATTATTTGCCACAAACATAATATCATATTTTCAACACCTCAATCGCACCCTTTCATGTCCCTTTTTTGCTCCGGATATATCAGGATAAGATTGAGAATATATAATAAATAATAAAATTATATTGATATGCAATCAATAACAAATATCCTTTCTACTGTACGTAAGTAATATAATAAGGTTATAATAAAATAATTATAAATATATCGACTTGTTTATTTATTTATTTTTAAAGAACCATGATATATATATATATATATATATATATATATATATATATATATATATATATATATATATATATATATATATATATATATATATATATATATATATATATATATATATTTTCCGAAAAAGCCATAAAAAAGTAGCTAATTTATTTACCAGCAAAACTTTTAGATTAAAAGATTTTTGCAAATTTTATTGTTCGTAATAAATTGATGACTATTATAAAAAATTAAAAACCACACGATAATCCTTTTAAAAAAATTTATATAAAAAATATTTGTGACCGGACAAAACTTACAATATATAGTCTACTTCAAGTTGTTACGTATTGAATCAAAACATTTATAATCAAAAGATAAATGGGGAAATATTCCCTTTTCAAACCATTTATTGATGGACCCTCATACGTTGTATATTATTTCTATTTTGCAATTCAATAATATTAAGATGTGTGATTTTATTAAATAGAATTTAAGATTAAATCTTTCAAATGTTATTAGTTCATTTGAGCTAGGCCTGTTGCTCAAAAATCATAAATGCTCTCATTATAACTATATAATAACGTTTTAATGACCTAATACAATGAAGAAAAGCTATAGGGTAAAATTTCTTATAACCAAACGGCTTTTTGTATATGATGTTGAATTTTCTTCTTTAATGCTTTTTTTTTTATATTTGTCGTTAAAAAAACAATACTCCATAAAAATCAGTATGATCATTATATTACAAAATTTCTTAAGGAGGTTATCACGAATTCACAATTCACAATTGATAAATGATAAATTAATAATATCAGGTATATTATAGGTTAACTTCATATGTTACCCCTAATTGTTTCGTTTACATTTATGTGAGTGGATGAATATATATATATATATATATATATATATATATATATATATATATATATATATATATATATATATATATATATATATATATATATATCACAAATATAAAATTTTCTTTATTTAATTTTATAAAAAAATGTAGGAATCTCAAAAAGAGGATCCAATATTATACAAGGCAATGTGTACAGCAACATTGGAGGAGGATGGTGGCAGTTTGCAAGCTATTAACTTCGCTTGTCTCTTACGCACCACGTACATATTGGTTTTACACTAGAATTCAGAAATCTATTATTTATAGGCAGTAGTTTTAGATACGTTTGGAAAAAATATTTTGAGTAAACAGATATTGACTATTTTGAAATTTTTATTTTTGAAAATAATAATACTAATAATGATAGTATTTTTTTTTTTTTCAAAAATTAAACCTCAAAATCTCAATTTAGTTATTTATGTTTAACCAATTTAAGGTGCTATCTTACTCTTAATGGAATCATGAAAAATATAACAATATAAGTTAATTTCAAATAGTACCACTTAAGTTGCTCGGTGTACTGACCATGTACAAGACATGGTGTTGATGTGGCTTGCCTGGCAACATGGAAACATCACCCATTTGGCATGGTGAGGATGTGACGTGGTGAGATGTTAGGCATGCAACGACCCACCACGACCTTATTCTATAACATCCCGACTCCCATGTACTTTATTTATTAATGGGTGACTCGACGAGTTGGATGTTCGACTCGTCAAATAGAGTTGGATTGAGCACGTGGGTTTAAAGACCGACTCGACGAGTAAGAGAGCCGACTGGACGAGTTGGCATTGTGAGATGAAACCTTAAATCTCCGGGGATGAGACCTACTTAAAGGACTTAAAGCCCTCATTTCCGTCTCCCTTATCTCCAGAGAGCCCTGTGAGAAACCCTAGATCGGTTCCATCCATTGTGAGAGAGAAAGAGTCTAATTTGGGTGTTGTTGTGCAACTTTGGAATAAGATTTGGAGAGCATCTTGGCTTGGAACAGAGATAGATGTTTAGATCTAGAGATTCTTCAGTGGTTAGCTTCTGTTGGAGGTAAAAAGATGCTAACTTGATCATTCTTTGTGTAGATCTTGGTTTGCAGGAGCTTTTAGGATTTTCTCCCATCCACCTTGTGTTGTTGAGTCCCTTGAGCATATCTTGAGGTTGAAACCTCAGATCTGGACTGTAGGAGGTCTTGTGAGCCCAAAGACCCAAGCTTTATGGAGCTAGAGGCAAACTTTTGAGCACCAAACCCTTGTAATAGCTTGTATTGGCATTATTGAGCCAATATGCCATGCATGAACGTAAAGCTGCAAGCTTTACGTGGTATTCAAGTTTTAGGAGGCCAGATCCAAAGTATAGAGTAGCATTTCTGCCTTAAAACGTCTGAATGAGAATTTTGACTTAAGGGACTCGACGAGTCGATGAGCTGACTCGACGAGTCGGTTAGGGTTTATTTCGATGAGTCTGAGCATGTTGTAACTCGGCGAGTTGACGGGTAAACTCGACGAGTTGAGTTAGTTTTCATGAGGCTTATGAGGAAACGAGGAGACTCAACGAGTTGCTTTGATGCCTCGACAAGTTGGGTCAACATGGACTGTTGACTCGAGTTTGACTTCTGTTGACTTTTGAGGGTTTGACCAAATGTGAGTAATGGAGACCATGGAGGGATAGAATAGTCTTTTACCCTTCCCAAGAGTTAGAGAGGGGCTAGTATGAGTTTATTTAGAGTTGTGATTCAATTAGAGATAATTATCACATGTGTTAGGCGGAGGCTAGATTAGTGATTCGTGTACAAGGTGTATTTGCTTGCTTGCTTCGAGGTGAGTCTTCTCACTATACTTACCTAGAGTGCTAACCTTTGTGTGACCAGAGGGTCTTATGTGCTTATATTGAGTATTGTGATATCCTGCATTATGTCTATGTGATTTATGCTGTGTATTATTCTGAGCATACTGAGTTAGGACTGGAGGGTCCACCCGAGTTGTGGGGCTGGAGGGTCCCACTGAGACACATTAACCGAAGGGTCTTATTTTGAGCAGAGACATGAGAGGCTAATGAGATATGTGTGGTATTTTAGGGGAACTCATTAAGCTTCGTGCTTACCGTGTTTTGTGATATGTGTTTCAGGTACTTTTCTTGGATCGCGGGAAGGCGTCGGCTTGATTGTACACACGAGAGAAAGGGTTATGTTTTGAGGATCCTGGATTTTTAATCAAACAATTATGGAGTTGTGTTTGGATAATTAGATACTTGGGATTTTTGTGTGAAATATGTTATGAGAATTATACGATTTCAAAATGAAAATTTTATTTGATAATTTACGGTGTTACATATTCTTTCTTGTTTAGTTCAATTTCGTCATCATTATTAGATTCATTGGACAAAACTGCAAAATTTGTCCCCGTGGTATTCAAAAAACTTTAGATAGGGTGCAAAAAGTTTCCAACTTGCATGGAATGTCCAAAATCAAGGTTTTACTGTATTTTGGTCTTTAATACACTTGAAAAGTTGATTTTACCCTTTTCATTTTTTTTATTTTCTTTATTTATTTTGGTATTTAAATAATTAAAAATAAAATTTTACCCAACCCTCTCACCGATACCCTTTCTCTCACCTCCCCCCTCCCTCCCTCTCTCTCTCTGTATATATATATATATATATATATATATATATATATATATATATATATATATATATATATATATATATATATATATATTGTAACGCCCGTGTTTCTAGGCTTGCCATTTTTAGCAATGTAATAGTCTAGGTTAACCTTGTAACTCAACTTGAAATAACAAGAATGTATTATTTGTGAATTATTTGAATTATGTGATTTATGTGTGTATTTTCTTAATTGTTATAATTAAATAAATTAAGAATAAAATAAGCGTCAAAATTTAAGTGTGAGATAAGCCCGACATCTTTGCATAAAGTTGTAGTGGTCGAAACAAGGATTCCGGAGATATAAGGAATGCCAAAATCCGAGTTATAACGAAGAAGTTATGACATGTCGAAGTTTCGAGACAGAACCGGCACGACGCCGAGTGACGTAAAATATGAATTTAAGTTAGAACGGTTTTTAGCCGAAACAATCTAAATGAGAATCTAAGATCTCATTGTTAGTAACGAAACGATGAAAAGGTAGGCGAGAACGGACGTCGGACGAAAAAGTTATGATTTAATAACGAAGTTTTCCTGTCCGAGCCTTCTAAAAATAAATAATAAAAATAAAAGTCAAAATTAGCCGACGGAGTCTAAATGAAAGTTGTAGAGTATGGTCTCACCTTCGCGTGGATATAAAGAACGTCGAAAACGGAGTTCGTATGAAGGAGGTATGAATTTTTGAAGTTTTAATAAATAATTTATATTTATTTTTAATTTACTTCGATATTATCCGAAGAGAGGAGAGGCGGTCTATCCGAAGTACGCAGCGCGTACTGCTTTACGCCCCGCGTACAGCATAGGGCACTCGAGTTCTACGGAGTAGCGAGTCGTATGCAATGACGGAGATGGACCGATGACGTAAGCGCTGACGACCACCGAGGCGTACGCCCCGCGTAGCCTTGTACGCCCCGCGTACGTGTGAGGGTCCAGCCTATAAAAGGGAGGTCCGAAGCAGCTTCTTTTCTTTTGCAAATTTCATCATTTTCTCTGGTCCTTTGCCTCGATTTGCGTGCCGATTGTACCCCGAAGCCCCGGTAATATTCCCGAGCCCCGAAGTAAGATCCGAAGCCCCGAGGATCCCGAAGAGCGTTATTCCCGAGCCGAAACGCTGCCCGCGAGGAACCCGGTTTTGTGAAGATCTTCCAGATCTACGGAGAAACACCTCTTCTGCAAGCCGTAGTGCTGCCCGATCATCTTTTGATCAAGTGAGTGTGTAGTTACTTTCTTTCCAACGCAATATTATGAAGTATTTTCTATAAAATACGTGTTATGTGTATATATTTGGTTGTTATACGTGTGAGTGTATATTCACTCTCTTCTATCTTATAGATATGATGTATTCTCTACGAAATACGTGTTATGTGTGTATGCCTCATCTGTTATGTGGAATATGTGTTGATTAAAACATGTTATACAGGTTTTTAAACTATGTATAAAAATGTATATTTTTATCTACTAATATGTTGGGTAGAACATGGGTAGATAATTGGTGTGTAATAAACAGATGAGAGGCCTCGGTGTTATTGGTGTTATTCTAGTCATTCAGCAGAGTATGGATGACGACCACGGACTATTCTAGAATGTCCTGTGGAACACTAGCAGGCTCATTACCTGTAGGTGTTGTGAACGACGTGTTCACCGGTGTACTCTATCCCCCACATGGTTGCCTTTAGGACACTTATTGTTGAGGAAGCCCCTCTGCAGTAATGTCCGTCCCGATGAAAATCCTGAAATAAGTTCCTTATAATAGACGTTATTTTTAGGAACGTAAGGTGAGGATAACGGGAATGGGTAATCGGGTTTATTGTTGATTGTTGAAATTAAATATAATTATTGTGGGTTTGAAAACCCTATATGCTCACCAGCTCCCAAGCCTGACCCACTCAGTTGATTTATTTTACAGGAAGTGGCGCAAGAGCTTAAGATGGGCGAACATCAAGTTGTTTTTGTTTACAAGTCTGTATATGTATATATTTGTTGAACGACTTGTAATGTTATCGTTTATGCTTTATGACCTGTATCGGAACATGACATCCCGACTTTTGAATATGAAATGAAATCATATGTCTTATGAAATGTTTTGATAAATATCTATTTTATCATGTTTTGTTTTTGGGAACAAATTCCGCATCTCTTTTAAAATTAAAAGGATTTACTCTGAAAATTATTTTAAAAAGCATAAATGAAATCGGTCTTTTCTGGCCGAGATTTTGGGGATGTCACAGTTGGTATCAGAGCATTAGTTTAAGCGAATTAGGAATTTGTAGGATTTCTAAACTTAAACTTAGCATTCTAAGTGGAGATTGCAAGGTGTGTGTCTGTTGGATCTTAGACACAAGCACTAGTTTATTTTAGGAAAGTTGCCTAAAATGCTTTTGTGTGCTAAATGTTATATGTTGCCATATATGATATTATTTGTTCGGATCTATGGTTTGTTGCCAACCGAATCTGAAGGTTTATGTGTTTAGGATTCTAAGCGTATGTATACGATATTAGAACTAGCATGTAATCGTTTGGAGTAATAAGGTGAAATTATTCGGTGTATAGATCAAAATGGTGAGAACAAGAAGCGGAGTTGGAAATGC